AAAGCCCGGCGCTGGGGGGGGCCCTCGTGCAAGTGTCACAGCGACACCGCCTGAGTGTGCAGAGCCCGGCGCTGGGGGGGGCCCTCGTGCGAGTGTCACAGCGACACCGCCTGAGTGTGCAGAGCCCGGCGCTGGGGGGGGCCCTCGTGTGAGTGTCACAGCGACACCGCCTGAGTGTGCAGAGCCCGGCGCTGGGGGGGGCCCTCGTGTGAGTGTCACAGCGACACCGCCTGAGCCTGCAGAGAGCCTGAGCCCGGCACTGGGGCGGGGGGAGGAGAGCTGCCCACGGACCAGGACCCCTGTGGCTTCCGAGGGCTCAAGGGGAGGGTTACAGCTGTGTCCTGGCCACCGGCCCTCTGCTCAGTTTCCCGTCCCCATCCCAGGACGGAGGAGACTCACCTCCATGGTGCGGCGATCACATGCTTCAGTCCTGCTTTTTCAGTGCCATGCCAGGGGCAAGCGAGGGCGTGGGGCCGGCGGCATCTTCAAAGCCAGCAGCCCGTGGCGTGGGCTGCAAGAGACAAACGCAGAGAGCTCAGGGCTTTCGCCCAACGCCGCAATGCACGGGACCCCTCCCCACCCCCCGAGCGGAGACTCACCTCCATGGTGCGGCGATCACATGCTTCAGTCCTGCTTTTTCAGTGCCATGCCAGGGGCAAGCGAGGGCGTGGGGCCGGCGGCATCTTCAAAGCCAGCAGCCCGTGGCGTGGGCTGCAAGAGACAAACGCAGAGAGCTCAGGGCTTTCGCCCAACGCCGCAATGCACGGGACCCCTCCCCACCCCCCGAGCGCCGGGCCTGGGGGCCGATTGTGATAGGCACGTGCAGAGCATTGCTGCACCCACTGCTGGTGCCCAGGGTGGTGTTTGTGGCAGGCTGAGGGCTCGCTGAGGCTGTTCGTACTACTCACGCGCCGCTACGATTTTTGGACGTGCTGCTGTGAATATTGGCTCTCTGCGGGTAGTTCAAATGTTTGTGTCTGGGAGACAGCAGCAGGCGTCGCCCACCTATTCGAATGGCAGTGAATAGCAGCGCTGCGTGGACAACGGCTTACGTGTTGCCAATAAGCTCCTAGGATTTCTGCTGGGAGCCCCATGGCTCTCTGCTGGTGCTGGGGTGACATACTCCACTTTGGGAGGCAGCTTCCCACAGGAGAACAAGGGGCTTCCCCCCACATGGGCAAGGCTGGGAAAGGCTCCGGAGGGTTCCTCTGGTGTCGTATTCCCTCCTGCTCCTCAGTTCAGAAGCAGCTTTGTTCTGGACGGGGGCCCAGAAGGCCACGCTGCCCCGTCCTGACAAAGGGGAGGCTGGGGGGCACAGGGAGCACTGGGGTGTCTGAGGGGGGTGGGGGATGCAGGA